GCAGAAGCCAGGGCGGGTGGGGGAGGCGCAAAGCATAGAGCAGCTTTTCAAGCTTTTCTTTTTTAAAAAACTTAGCTAATTGGATGGGTCAGGAAAATTCAGGTCACATTTTCACTTTCTGTTTCAGGGGCGGGGAGGCTGCTAGCCCAGCGCCACCTTCCTGGACACCGTCTGGTAGAAGACGCCCCGCAGCAGGGCCTGGTAGCTGGGCACGCGAAACAGGTGGCGCTCGCCGAAGGCCACGTCGTACTCGGCCGTCTTGCCGGTGACCAGGACGCGGATGTGGGGCTCATTCACCTGGCGGCCCACCACCACCACGAAGATCTCGATGCCCGCCCGCTGGGCCTCCTGCACGGCCTTCTCGATGGCAGCCGCTGTGGCGCCCTGCGAGTTGCCGTCTGAGAAGAGCAGCAGCTTCTTCTTGGCGCTGGGGGAGGAGGCCTCACGGTAGAAGCGGGTCACGTAGCCGAGGGCGTCGGTGACGTCAGTGGCGTCATTGAAGAAGTCCATGGCATCCACGGCGCCGGCCAGCACGGTGTAGTTCTGCAGGAACTGCAGCGCCGCGCGCTCCGGCCGCTGCTGCCCGGTGCCGCTGTACTGCACCACCGCCACGCGCACGTCCTGGTCCGGGTCCGTCCGGCCCGCTGTCAGGAAGCGCTCGGCCAGCCGCTTGGTGAAGCGCTTGGTGGTATCGAAGTTATGGCTGCCCACGCTGGCCGAGCCATCCAGCAGGATGGTGATGTCGGCCGGGGAGGTGAACGTGACTACGGGGGGCGGATAGGGGATCGTGAGCACACACATGTCCTAGGGGGCCCGGCCCCACCCGCCCTTCTGGCCTCCGGACCCTCCTCACCCCGGGCCCGCCACGAGCAGCCTACCCATCCCCCGGTACTCACTTGGGCAGGTGTAATCTGGGCATTTCTTGTCTGTAAAAGAGAAAACCCCACAGCCTGAGCCCAGCCGTCGCAGGAACTGCTGTTCTACCCGGAAGCCCCAGCGGAAGGACACCGGGCTTCTCTGTGGGAGGCTCCGGTGGTGGTGCTCCTGAACGGCCAGCCCCACACGTCTCCTCCTCCCACCAGGAGGGCTGTCCCTTATGCAGGAATGAGTGTGGAGGGGTGGAAGGGTCCCCAGGCACCTGCCCAGTGAGGGGCGGGCCAGAGCTTTGGCCCCTCCCAAGAACGAGGAAGCCAAGGCTCAGAGAGGAGGAAGGACGGTCTGCAGCTCAGACTCCGTGCCACACTGTCCCTGGCGATGCTGACCATGGCCACGCACACACAGACCCTGGCACAGCCCACACCCTGGGGAGCACCGTGTGGACGCCAGGCCACCACATCCTTGAGCACGAGATGAAGCGGCTGGTGGGGGAGGCAGACACACTGCTGGCTGTTGTGGGGGGGTCTGGCTCAGAGGCCAGAGGTCATGTGGGCCGAGCGAAGACCTGAGTCTTGGCCGGGGGGCCCTCGAGCTGCCCACCTATGCAGATCTGGGTGGTGATGTTCTTCAGGAAGTTGTCGTCCAGCAGCTCCGCATAGTTCTCCTTGACCAGCGAGATGCCCGGCCGTCCCTGGGACACCAGGCCTTGGCAGGAAATGACATTCAGCTGGTCAGAGCCAGCTGCCAAGCCAAACAGGTCCTTGATGCCCACGGAGACCACCTGCGGAGAGGTGCGGCGTTGGTGTGGCCCCACGTGGGGACGGCTCCCCCTGGGTCCAGGCATGGAGGCAGCCCCACCTGAATGTCAGGGCCGCAGAGCACACTGAGGGGGGTCGTGTCCCTCTGGGTGTCCGAGCGGCCGTCGGTGATGACCAGGGCGATCCGGTTGTTCTGGGTGGGTGGCAGCAGCCGGCTCCGGGTGTACTGCAGGGCCTCGCCCGTGAACGTGCCCCCGCCCATCCACTGCAGCTGCTTGATGGCTCTGTGGGGCCACAGCTGTCAGGGCCGGGGCCGGGGCCGGGACAAGGCCAGGGCTGGGGCCAGGGCCGGGGTCAGAATGGGGCCAAGCGGCCACACTCACTCCTTGAGGTCCTGGGCATTCTTGATGTTGGGGTCCCTCAGGTCCACGTGCTCCTGCATCTGGTTGTGGCTGTACTGCACCACGCCTGCGTGGGACTGCCCGGGCTCAAACTGCACAGGAACAGCAGCTGAGATCAGGAGTGTCCCCCCAGGGGCTCCCGAGTGCCTGGGCCCCTCCCTGGGTCGCCCCCCCCCCACTGCCTCAGGCTGGACCAGCCCCCAGGCCCCCAGGTGACTCATGACCTGGTGGGTTGGAGGCCTGGCTTTCATGAAGCAAAGTGTTGTGTCTCCCACGGCCCCCAGCACTCTGGTGTCAGGACAGACCCCGGCCGCCCCAGGAACCACCGGCCCCGAGCAAGGCCCAGGGCAGCCTCCTCACCTTGACCAGCTCGTCCCGGCTCAGCCGGTCAATAACCTTGACGATGAAGTCCTTGGCGATCTCAAAGTTCTGCAGGCCGATGCTCTCAGAGCTGTCCAGCACGAAGAGGATGTCGATGGGCCCGCACTTGCACTCTGGGGACGGTGGGGCAGTCAGCCCCGGGCCTCTCCCAGGGCCCCTCCAGCAGGGCAGCCCCGAGGTGGGGAGGCTGGAGGGCCCAGGGCCCTGGGGGAAGCTCCTGTCCCCCCTCCCTGGTGTGAGTGACTGGGGAGAGGACAGGCCAGACCAGCCCCCTGGCCATGAGAGCGGAGACAAGGGGCCTGACTCCCCACCCACAGTGGGGGCTGCTCAAAAGCTCCAGGCACAAGACCCGGAATGGGACACAGAGCGACACTCACCACAGCAAGCTGGGGAAGAGGAGAAAGGCAATTACCAGGCGGTCAGGCTGCACCCTCCGGCTCCCCGCCATCCCCGCCCCGGACTTCCTCATGGCGGGGCGCACGCCCAGCCTCCTGCTGGCCCCCCCCAGCCAGCGCCGGTGGCAGGACCGCCGTTCTTCTAATTAGGACAGTTACACGAAGGTGGAAATACTCACAGCACATTTTCATGATGATGTCCAAAATCTCGCATTCCTGGGAGGGGGAGAGACACTTGCATGAAGCTGAACTGGTCACGCCACCAGGGCTGCCCTGGGCTCTGGGGGTGAGGCCAGCCCTCGGGGTCCCCATCCCCTGGGACCACACCAGTGGAGAGGGGGTCTCATTTCCCAGGGTGGGCCCTGCTCTGCCACCTGAGGCAGTCCCTGACCTTGACATGTGGCCACCACGTGCCCTCCACATAGCCATCACAGGACCATCACATGCCCCCCACGTGATCATCACGTGTCCTCCTATGTGGCCATCATGTGCCCCCGTGGCCATCACGTGCTACTGCCGCGGCGCCCCACCCCCACAGGATCCCTGGCCAGAGCGGTTGGCTCCCACGGACGTTCACAGACACCCACTTACATCCGGCCCCGGAGGTCCTGTGTGCCCTGCGGGTCCCTGTCAAAGAAAGGACAGGAGGAGGTTTATGAGGGCCGATCCTGTGGCTCTCCTTGATTCCCGAGCTGCGGGTCTGATGGGAGCCCCCAGGCCGACCCCACCTCCGTTTATGGCCCCTGAACACGAGGTGCAGCTGACTGCACGTTAGCACCTAGAGGAGCTGCTGCTAATGTGCTCAGCGACGACCGTCCAACGCGCCTTTTCTGGCGGTCAGTGGGCACGCTGGCCGGGCCCTGTCTGCGGCTCACCCACAGTCACCGCCGGGGAGTCACCACACTGATGGTCTAACGGTGCCACCTCTATGGGCAGGGTGTCCAGCCTCACCCAGGCACCCTCCCCGGGCTCTGCTGCACACATCACATCTCTTCTCTGCCCCCTGCTCGGCCCCCAACTCCCTGAAACTGCACGTTCCCCCAATCCTATCTGCCAAAGCCCCAGCCTCCCTAGCCCTTCCCCCGAGCCTCGCTCCCAAATTCCCGCCCACCCCAGCCGTCTGCAGACTCAGAGTCAGGCCGCTGCCCCACAGCCACGCCGACTCACCTGGGGGCCTTCGGGGCCTCGGTACCCCTTCGCTCCTTTGGCACCTCGAGGAGAAATGTCATTGTTCTGGAAGGACACAGCATGGTGTCACCAGGCACCACCACATATGGCCAGACCACATGCTGTCTGTCCCCTGATGTGCCGCCCACCCACAGAGCCACCTCCCTCCCCATGCTCCACCCACACACAGAGCCACCTCCCTCCATGGCCCTCGAGGCCAAGGCTGACTCAGGATTTCACAGCCTGCGGGCGGGCTCTGCACTCACGTCCTCTCCGGGGTCCCCAGCTTCTCCCTCATCCCCCTTGAGGCCGGGGTAGCCTTTAGTGCCCTGCAGGTGACAGGGGAGCAGGCGGTTAGCGGGACCCCGTCCCAGGGTCTGGGGTGGCACTGCGGCCCCGGGCTCCTGGGGAGGGCCAGCCTCTGGGGGCACTGGAGCCCCCACCACACCTCTGCGGCTTGGGCCGACATCTTCTGGCTGCGGGGCAGCTCTCGCCCACCCCAGGCATCCTGGCTAACAGGCTCCTTTGTAAATTTTACTGATTCAAATTCTCTACGATGGTACAGTTTACATGATTGTGTTTCCTTCTTAAGAAGCAGAATTTTTAAAAGGAGAGAGAGAAACAGGAAGGAGACACTGTCTGCCTTTCTCCCACCCCTGGTACATGTTTCCTGGGGAGACTCTGAGGCCGGGAGCAGGACAGAGGACACCTGAGCCTGAGGGGAGATGGGGTGGAGTCTCTGGGAGCCTCTTTGCCCCCAGGCACTCTGGGGGGCGTGTCAGTTACCAGGGGCACCCCAGGGCCACGTGAGGCATGCAGAGACGGAGACGTGTGTGTCTGCACCTGTGTGTGCGTCTGCACATGTGAGTGCACACGTGTGCGTGCGTGCCCTGTGCACCCTCAGTAGCTGACGCGGGGCGTGTACTCACGTTTGTCCCGGGAGGGCCCCTGCTGCCCGGATAGCCCTGCAGGGAAGGCGGGACAGTCACACCAGCCCCGTCGCAGGCGGGGGCACCCCCGAGGGACAGTCCCACCATCGGTGCCAACGTGTGCCCGACTGGCCTGGGGGTGGTGGGGCAGGATGGGGGTCACTCACCGGGAAGCCGGGGAAGCCCTCGGTGCCGTTTCCGGGGGGGCCGTCTTCACCCTGGGAGAGCAGATGGCAGCCGGTCACTGTGGGAGTCGCCCAGCTGGGACGCTCCAGACTCGGGGCCCCGGCAGCCCCACCAGGGCTGTGCCCTGTGTCACTCACCCTTTCGCCCATCAGCCCTGGGTCTCCGGGGGGGCCTGCAGGCCCGGGGACTCCTCTGAGGCCCTGAGAAGGAGAAAATGAAGCGGACGCCAGGCGGTGAGCCGCACAGGCTTGGGGCACCGGGCGTCCGGGAGGAGGTGGGAGGGCAGATGGCACAGCACAGCAGCGATCAGAGAAGGGGCTTGAACCGATGACACTGCGGGCCGCGCACCCTTAGGACCTGAGAGGCCGCACCTGCCTGGTGGGCCCCCGGGGGGACCCAGGGTAGCCAGACTGGACAGAGACCCAGGGCTCAGCGCGGGGAGTTCAGACCCAAGCCCGACCAGAGCAGGTGGAGGGAGAGGCGGGCACGACACGGCATGGCCGCGCCCAGCGCCTCGGTGACGTCTCGACATGTTGTTGACGTTTTTGCTCATTGTGGAAAGAAACCTGAAAACTTTGCCAAGTCAAATCTGTAGGGCATGATACGCAACGAGAGAGAAGAAACTGGGAAGAAATGAGCCGAAGCGCTCGCGTTGCTGGTCTCGGGGCGGTGGGCTCGGGTCTCTCTCTCTTATTTTGTGCACTTGCCAAATTTCCTGAAAGTCACCTAAACATGAATGAGGTGAAGTGAAGCGTGATGCTGAGACGTGTGAGGAGCCCAGCCCGGGGGCTCTCCTAGGGAAGTGCTGGCAGGGCCTGGGGCCTGGGGCTGGGCCGGGCCCCTCCTGGGGGGGGTCGGGAGCTCCACTCACCTCGGGCCCTGGGGGCCCCTCGTCCCCTCGGTACCCTTTCGGTCCAGCGGGGCCAGCCTCGCCCTGCGGAGAGACGGACACACCCGTTGGGCCCTCTGTGCCCCGCAGCAGCCCTCCTGATCCCAGAGCCACCCTCGCCGGCCTTCCTGTCTGGACCCAGGGTCTCGGTCCCCTGAGCCTCTGAGACGTCCCTAGCCAGGCCAGGGGAGGGATGGCAAGCACCTGTCACTGTCGGGGCTGCCGGCCCGCCTGGCCCCTCTGGGCGCCCCCCACCCTGGACCCAGAGGCCTGTCCGCGGGGCCCTGTGGACAGGCGGTGCTTCCTGGCGGGGCCTTTCCTGCGGCCTCCCCACAAACGTGTACCGCTCCCTGTCGTCCAGCCAAGGGGGCTGCTGCGGCACTGCTGCCCCACCACAGCCAGGCCGGAGTCTAGGCACGCCTCGGACAGCGCCAGCGTCACACTCTGCCCGCCGGCCGCTGGCACCAGCAGCCCCTGCCACCGCAGGGACGCAGGCCCACGGGGTAAGCCTGGGGCCCTAAGACCTGCCTCAGGACAGGAAAAGGGGTGCGGGAGGGATGATGGGCTTGTCTGGGGGCACTGGGGCCCTCAGGGTCTCGGGAGGACCCACCACGGTGGGGGGCAGGGACAGGAGAGGCCTGGCAGGTGGGGCGTGCGACAGGACATCTGGGGAAGCACGTTTTCCAGAACGGGCCACGTGGACTCCAGGGCAGAGCCAACCACCTGCCAGGTCTGCAGTCGGTGGGGGAGTGGGGCCCACGACCGGGTCGAGAGGGCAGGGCGGAGCCCAGAAGCTGGAGCCCCCGAGGCCAGGGAGTCGACGTCCCGGCGACCAAGTGCCATCTCAGCCACAAGTCAGGAGGGGACCATCTGCGGCTGGTCACAGGCTGGGGGACACGGGGCCTCCCCCCAGGGGAGGCGGCTGCCCAGCCGTGCCCAGTGTCCCTGTGGCCTGGGCTGGGGCTTCCCTCTCTCCCCACAGTCTACACTGACTATTATTCATTGCTCTGAAAACTGGAAACAAACCCAGGAGGTGCTGCCGGAACCCAGTGTTTTATTCCATTAGAGTTGGGGCCGCAGGGAAGGACCAGTCCGGCTCTAACCCTGTCCCCAGCACTGGCAGGAGCCGTGACGCGCTCCTCGGGCCCATCTAGGAGGAGGAGGGGGAGGACCCGCCCGCCCTGCCAGGAAGGGCGGCCCCGGAAGCGCCCTGGCAGCAGGGCCAGCCCGGCCCAAGGCCACAACAGCGCGGTCGTCAGCACTGGTGGAAACAGGAAAGTAAGGGCTTGCAACAGTGATCCCAGGGGACAGAGGAGAGGGGGTTAAATATGGAAGTGCATTTTAATCCCAGGAAGGGCTGCAGTCCCACGCTGGGACAATGGGTGGCCACTCACTGAAACAGGCCAGCCGGGGCAGGCCTACGCTCCATACTCCAGACACATCAGTGACATAAGCCAGAAGCACACGAAGTGGGTGAGCGCATTCGTACATCCTTGTGAACGAGCAGGACACTCCCCTCATCCACAAGGCACCACAGACAAGACGGGACGCAGATGACACACGACAGAGTGTCTGCCCCACGGCTGGAGCCCCACGCACATCAACGTGGGAAACACAGGCTCTGGTGGGACACGGACGGCGGCGTGAACAGCCAGGCGGAGGGGCCACGCCGGCCCTTCCCACAAGTGGTCAAACAGAGAGAGGAGCAAAGACGCACGCCTGGAGTCTGATCGCAGCTCCTGTTGGCAAAGGTGTGGGTGCCGCCTCTGTGAGACAGCCTGGGGGGACGCACGTGGGGCCAGGCATGTAGGCAGTAGAACGGTCGGGCAAATGTCAACCTGCGCACACACACCACTGGGGTCAAGAAATTTTGCTACTAAGAATTTGTGTTCTGGATGTGGCCTTGGAGGTACTTCAGGATGGACAGATGGCCAGAAGGGCGGATGGACAGAAGGGTAGACACATATGTACACTGAGGATGGACAGATGGGCACCAGCTGACAGTAGATGACAGATGAGTGGTGGGTGGGCACAGGTGACTGGCTGGGTGGATGGACAGACAGAGGAGTGAATGGATGGGTGACACGTAGATGACGGCATGTAGGTGGGTGACAGAGGGCTGGATGGTTACAGCTGGATGGATGAATGGACAGATGAACTGACAGAAAGGCCGATGGTTGCTGATATTTTTCTGTAAAGCAAAATACTGGAGACAATCTCCCTTCACGTGAAGGGGGCCTAGGTGGGCACCTCAGTACGCTCACCCAGCGGAACGTCTTGGAACTGAAGAAGCGTGGGCGGGGGCTGGCCTGGCCAGGCCCCCAAGGTTAATCAGGGGGACAGAGCGTCACCAACGATGCTGTTGGTGGACGGCGCCCCTCCTACCTGGCCCCTCACACACACCGTGCTCTTTCTAGAAGGGTTCTAGAAGAAACCAAACATTAGAGAAAACTGAAAATGGACGCCTGTGTTGTGGGGGGACAGGAGAATTCTGCTGGTCTTCCTCCTGCTGGAGATACTGGTTTTAACCATTTCTCTCTCAGGAAACCAAACCCGGAGGGGCAGCTGTCCCCACGGGAGCTGTGGTCCGGGGGCCCGAGGACCTTCCAGCCGTAGTCTGCATGAGAGGCGGCATCCGCCTCACTGCTGAGACGGAGGCCCAGCAGCCCCGGGCCCGGGACGCGCCCCCTGTCCGCACACGGCCACAGGCCCCAGGGACGGCGGGGCCTCGGGCAGGTGGCGCCCGGAGAATCCAACCTGGGATCACGTGCCAGGAAGTTCTCCACGGAGCTGGCCCTTAGTTGTGTCATGAGAAGGTCCACGCCCACCCCGTTACACCGCGCCGGGAAGGCCCCAAGTGCATGGCCGCTGCTTCGCAGGAGAACTGACAGCTCTGCCCTGCTGTGGCGGCAGCTCCTTTCCTACTCTGTGAGTTCCTTTTTAGTTAGAACTCCAGTTCCAAATTTTCCTTCATAAAAAAAGCTGCCAAAGGCATGAAGCCATGATCCACGTCCCAGCTGAGCCCGAGGCCCCCCGGGGTCATCCCATCTCACAGCCCCTGCTTGGAGCTCCCGGACCCCCACGCACCGCTGTCCCCTCCTCCTGCCCCCTGGGAAGTCCCCAGGCCTGGCCCAAGGCCACTCCCCATGGTCTGCCTGGACCCTCCCCACACGGTCAAGCAGCACACCTCACCCCCAGCACACGGTACGGGCCCCACCCAGCGAACCCCATCATAGGACCAGTGGGTGTGCAGGTGGGGACCCAGTGGGGCTGGCTTAGTGATGGGACCATCCAAGGGAAGGGGGTCCCTGGACAGGTGCAGGGAGGAGAGAGGGGTCCGCATTCACCTCCCACCCAGCCCCTGCCCCCGTCGCGCCCCCATCGTGTGTTCTCCTGCATGGGGGTGGTCCCTGAAGGAAGGAGGAGAGGATGAAGCCCCCAGTCCTGGTGACACAACACCTGATCTGTTGCAGGGACGGAGGCTAGGGGGAGTCCAGCGTCCTTGCTGGCTCCCCCATCCCAGCACAGCCAGGGCAAGGACCCCCACCCGCGGGAAGAGGAGCCGGAGGCCAGAGCAGAACAAGATCTTGAGGCCCCACCGCAGGCCTGGGCTGCGCCCAGAATTGCGGGGCCCTCAGTGGCCCGTGGACAGGGCAGCCCTCCCCCCACAGGGGGCGGTGGGCGGGGTCAGGGGGCCTCTCAGTTCATGGCGTCCTCACCATGAACATGGCTCAGTTTGCTGCGTGTCCACTTTTGTATCCTCTGTCCCCACCCCTCCACCTCGGATGGCCATCGGCCCCCTGGAAGGCAGTACCGGGCGGTGCTCCCACCCTCAGTGCTCCCCCAGGGTCGGCCAGAGCTCCAGCGGGCCTTGCAGATCTCTGCCAGGACGTGCTGGCCACCAGAGCCCCAACCTGGCCGAGACCACCCACCAGCGTGGCCGCGGTCACTTCAGCAGCCCCAGTGGCCACACTCACACTCGGCCCTTTGGCCTGTTCTGCCCGGCGCTGACTCCCGGCCACCCTGCCTCACCTCCCCGTGCACCTGTCCCTGCGCCCACCATCCCCTCGTGACACCCAGGCCAGGCCTCTGGAGATGGCTGAGAGCACCGTGCTCCCTGGGGAGGGAGGTCTCCCCCTTCTGTCCCCTTGACGCTCACAGCTCCCTGGGGGTCCCCTGACTCCTCCGCCCACCCAGCCCACTGCCTCCTCAGGCCTCCACCCTCCGGTCTCCCCGCACAGCCTCCCGAAGGTCACATCCAGGAATTCTGGAACATTCCATGCACTGACACTCCCAAATCAACCTCTAGCCGGGATCTCATACCTGAGCTCAAAACACTGAATGAGGGTCTCCCCCGGCCAGCTTGGTGTCTTCTGGGGGTTCCCATGCCCTGTCTCCAATGTGGGGTGCCTCTGTCTGGGCTCAGTCCTCCGACACCTGCCCTGCCAGGCCAGGGGGTCCCCAGGGGCCCCTGCCGCTGACAGCCCTGCCCCATCTGCCCCCAAGCCTCAAGGGCTCACCCCCACTGCCCTCCTCCCACACCAGACACTCCAGGGCACCCCCTCCCCACTCTGAGGGCCACCTGGGGGTCTGCTCACTCAGCACTGCATCCTTGCCGGTGCCACCACCCCCAGACAAAGGGGTCCCCCTGCAAGCACTGGGCCCACTTCCCCAGTCTGCACCTGCCACTTGCCTCTCCCCTCCACAGCTGTCCCCCGAGACACCAAGGTCTCCAGGTTACACCCGCCGCAGGAAGTGCACCAGGTCAGAGGCGGAGAAAGGTCTCCTCCCAAATTCGCAAGCTGATCTGTGCCAGCAGAACCGCTTCTCACAGGGACACCCCTCCCTGCCCCCGACAGCTGGGCTTCCTACCGGGTCTCCTGGAACGCCAACGGGGCCTTCTCGACCCTGGTCACCTTGGGGTCCGGCTTCGCCCTAGGGAGGAAAAGCCACTGGGTGGAGGCGGGGAGGCGGCTGCCCTGGGCGGCCATCGGGCAAAGCCTGGGGCCCAGCAGCTCCCCCAGAGCCAGGAAGGACCACCACCCACTGTGGGCTGGCCTCGCCCTTCGTCCTCACACGTGCCCATGTGTTTTCCACATACACAGCCGTGTGTGTCTGTCTAGTGACGTGTGTTTCCAAGAGTCCACCACGAGGGGCCAGCAGCCCTGCTCTGCCTGCTCCCCAGCGAGGCTCACCGATGGGCCTCGGGCCCAGGGCTAGGGGGCTGGCCGGGCGCTTCCTGGAGGCTCCTCCAGGGCCTCCCGTCCTGTTTCTCAACCCGAGGGGCAGGCCTTGGAAGTGGTGTCAGAGCTACGTTGTCCTTGTCCTGATGTTCCCCCCAGCCCCTGTGCGGGGTCTGCGGGGCTCTGGGAAAGCCGAGGAGTGGGGAGGGGTCAGAGAGACGAGTCTCTCTCCCACTGACCTTGGCCTCTCCCCATCAGATGCCCCGGACTCGTGTTTGGAGGAGGACATGCCCCTGGCTGACCGAGCGTCACCACAAGACGGACAGCATGGCCTGGAGGGTGTCCTGCTCTGGGACGAGGAGCGGCAGGTGGAGGGCCGGCCGCACCTGCAGTCTGGACGTCAGGCCTCTCCCCCTCACTCCCGCTCCATCCAGCCAGTCTGTGTCTGTGTCCACACGTTAGGTCCCGCCACACTTTCCCCCTGACCCGCGGGGCAGGGAAAGCCCAGTGTGGCCCCGGGCAGTGAGGCTGGGCCCAGCCGTCGAGGTGAGGGGTCAGTAGCCACTGGGCCACCCAACGTCCCTACTCTTGAAGTTTTAACAGAAAGACCACCCCCAGGAAGGACGCAGGCTCTGTCTGCAAAACGTGGAGGGAGCTCCTAGGGGGATGTGCAGATTGAAGAACCCTGATGTGCAGTGGAGTCAGGCAGACTGAAAACATGCTAAGCGATGCCGCTGGTGAAAAGGCACAGAGGCGGACACAGCGCCCACAGCATGAGGGTGGTCACGCCGCCGCCGCCGCTGCCACGCAGAGGGCACGCTCACACAGGGGCCGCGCCCGCAGACCAGCGTCGCCATGTGACTCTTCAGGTGGCTGTGCCCTGGTGTGTGCTGGGCCTCGAGGTGGCTGGGGCCACGTAGCTCAGAGGCCTGGGCAGGGGCCGAGGGAGGGGCTGCTGCATTTCCCGTACAAGTGGGGGGTGGGGGGTGGTGGGGGCTATTTTTGGAAAAATAGAGGTTGGGGTTGTGGGTTGCCCAAATCCAGGGGCCAGAGGGGCTTGGTGGTGTGTGTCCTGTGATGGCATGACCTCGGCCTGGGGATGGGGTCCCGGCTCTGGAAACAGTGACTCACCGGGTCTCCTCTCGGGCCCCGCGTGCCTGGGGTCCCCCGTGGTCCCCTTTCCCCCTGGGCCGCCCTGTGCGGAGGGAAGTGGAGAGGTGAGGCTGCGGCCCAGACGATGCAGTGTGGGACACTCTCCATCTCACACCAGGTCCTTCCAGAGACCGGGGTCCCACAGCTCTGACAGGACGACAGGGCTGGACACCCCGGCCACTCCAGCCTCTAACTGGTGAGGCCCAGAGCCCAGGACCCCCAACTCACCCTCTCTCCAGGGGGGCCATCTGGTCCCGGGTTTCCCTGGGGTTGAGGGAGGAACACAAGCATTAGTTTGGGACGGGAGCGCTGCTGTAGTCCCAGGAGCCAGGAGCAGGAGGCCACACGGGGGTCCTACCTCGTCGCCGGCTTCGCCTTTCTCTCCCGGCGGGCCAGGCTCTCCGGGCTCACCCTGGAGGAGAAGGGTGCAGACTGTCCGGCCCTGGGCAGGCTGCCCCTCCCAGGGCCCGGGCCCGCCCCCCTGTGTCCGGGGCTGAGTGCACGCTCACCTCATCTCCGGGGGGGCCTGTGCTCCCCGGCCTCCCTGGGTCCCCATCTGCTCCAGGCTCCCCCTGGAAAGATCAGAGGGTCAGCTTCGGGAGGCCACACCTGCCCGCCCTGGGGGATGCGACCCCACACTGGCCCTCCTCACTCAGACTGCAGGCCGCTGCCCCTGCCTCAGACTTCGAGGACCCTCCCCAACCATCCATGTCTCTGCCCAAAACCCCCGATCACAGCCCAGCCCTGGTGAGTGATGGCCTAGTGTCCCCAGCCTGGTGCCTGGCCCCTGTGGACCTGGGCCCATGGGAAAACCCATTGCGGGCACGGTAAGACACGTGGGGCAGAGTCCATGTTAAACGTCCGTCTTCTCTCGCATTTCCTGTTACAGAAAACCCCGGAAAATGCCAGCAAGGTCTGACTCTGACTCAGATACGAGGTCCTCATGCCCACCTCCCTGCCCACCTGCGGGGTCAGCACCAGCCTGCTTACTCATGGGTTCAGACTTCACGCTAGCAGGTAGGCTCTGGCATGGAAGGCAGGCTGTGTGGACAGTCCTGAGCCAACCTGAGAGGCCGAGGGCAGCCTCCGTCTGCCGCGGGCGGGCGAGCGCCGCAGGTGCGATGGGACCAGCACCCGCCTTGGCAAGGTCCCCACCCTAGCCCTGCCTGCCTGCCCGTGGGCCTGGCCCTCACACCACGCGCCCAGAACTTGCTTCCGGGGGAACTTCTGCTCAGCGCTCGGTAGGTGGTAAAGCCCCCGCCTGCCCCACCCTCCCCGTGCTGGAGTCGCTGACCTTCGCTCCTTTCAGACCGAATGCACCCGCATCGCCCTTGGGCCCCGGGGGTCCTTGGATGCCCTGGTGAGAGGACACAGGGAGGGGTCGGTCCGGAGGCTGGAGCCGCAGCACTGGGCCGCGCACCGAGTGAGAAGCCGGGGCGGCCGGTCTGCGTGCAGCTCGGCCGCGGGACTTCTCAGTGTGCCAGGAGGAGGGTTGGGCTGTTTTCACTCCTGAGAATTCAGTCTTAACATGTGGGTGAGAGAAAGTAACTTACGTCGAATCCGGGCGAGCCCTTGCAGCCTGGCAGGCCGGGGTACCCCATCTCCCCCTACAAGGAGGAAGGCGGGTCGGGGTCAGACCTTCCAGCTCTGGCTCGCTGGTCCCCTTCCCGAGAAAGCCCTGCCCAGGGGAAGAAGTTCTGAGCTTGGTCGGGGGGCTTGAGGGCCACTGGGACCGGGGGCTCGTCAGGAAGGCCTCCTGCCTTTCATGCTCCCTCAGCACTGCCCGCACACGAGACCCCTACCCTCCCACCTCCTCCGGGGCAGCCAGCTTTGCCCACCAACCCTTCCCTGAACCGTGTGCCCCACCACCAGCCCGCCGTGCGCTAAGGGTGACCTTCATGCCATCCACGCCATCGATGCCGCGCTTCCCCTTCTCGCCCTGCAAAGTGCCAAAGCCAGAGGTTAGACGGCACCCCCATGGGCAGTGTCCCCACCAGCCTTGCCCCCACTGGCCACACTCACCTTGTAGCCCTTGGGTCCCCTGGAGCCCTGCGGAGACAGGAAGGGAGGGTGAGGGGCCTGGCCTCCTCATCAAGGGCGAGTTCCCCAAGGAGGGCCCCCCACCAGCTTGCCGTGGCCCAGCCACGCCGGGAACAGCAGCACCGTCCCTGTTCGGGGTAGGGGCCGCTCGATGCCCTGAGGGACACGTCCCAAAGTGGTGTCTCACTCACCTTCTCCCCTCGGCTCCCCTTTTCTCCCTAAACGGCAAACAGAGGAGAGAACAGGTCTGTTAGGGGGTCCCAGGCCCGAGGCCCCAGTGCCCTGGTCACACCACAGTGGAGGAGGGGGAGACACACCTTCATGCCCTGGTAGCCAACGGGTCCGAGGTCCCCAGGCCTTCCCTGCAACAGAGGAGGGGCGCGTTAGACAGCCTGGGTCAGGGCGGCTCCTACCCAGCCCCTTTGCCCCCCACCGTGCTCAGGCCTGGTCAGCTGGAGAGACCAGACCGGCTGACCACCGACCTGTGTCTGGGAGAAAGAGAGAGAGAGGGCCCTGCTGTGACGGCTCCACCCCTCCTGGGGACTCCCCAGCAGGACTCCGGGGGTGGGTTCCAGGCCCCCCAGGGGGAGAGGGGTGGTGTGCGAGAAGACTGGCGGTGGCTGAAGCAGAGGACTGGGGCTTGGCTGGCTGACCCTCACAACCTGTCCTCAGAGCAGGTGGGCCTTGGGGGGGCCCGAGGGGGGTCTTCCTGGGTGGGATGTGTCCTGTGCCCTCTGGTCCTCGCCACCCTAGGGGGCTGTGTCCTCTGAGGGTCAGGCCACTTGCGACGGTGCTCAGAAACCAGCCCTCCTTCTGGACGGTTCTGCAGCTGGGTTCCCCAGCCTCGGGCTTCTCAGCGCCCCCTCCCCTCCCGTGTCAGGCGCTCGGCACTCACGGGTTCTCCGGCTTCTCCTTTCTCTCCTGGGAGACCCGGCTTCCCGCGCTCTCCCTGCGACACAGAGCAGATAAGTTCAGAGGACAAGTCCCATTTATTTCTAAAAGCCAGTGAAAGGCACCCCCTACTTGCTCATAAAAACGGTTTGAAAAGATATTCCATCCGGTCTTCAGTTCGTGTGGTTTTCAGACACCTTTCCTGTCACCCATCCTGGGGTCGGCGTGGCCAGGTCCACGTGTCCCCTTCCACACACCCCGCCGGACCTGGGGCTGTGGGCGCCGGCCAGACTGCCCCCCAGCGGGGCTGGCCCCTGAATCTCTTTTCTCTGCCCATTCCTGCTGCCGCCTTGGGCTCCAGGGGAGGCGCAGGCAGGTGGGCTGGACGGGGCACAGAAGCCCCCCAGGGGCGGGGCTGGTACTCAGTCCCATGGTTGGTGGCCACGTGGCTCCAGAGCCCCTGGACCTGACACTTTTTAGGAGAAGCCAGAAATCTGACTTGCACGAGCAAGCTCCCTGGCTGTGTGTGTTGGTAACTAAGCCTGATCTCCAGAATCTCCGCCGTTCACGCTGTCTCACAGGAGGGCCACCTCCAGCGGCGAAGCTTAGGGGACACTCACTCCAGAAAGGCCAGTCCCTCCAACACAGAGAGGAGGCCGGTGCAGCGGATCCTGCCCCACGCCAGCCCAAGGCCCCCACATGGGCCGTGGGGTTACCACACCAAGACTCTCCCCCGAGCTCAGTGCAGGCGGGTGGGTGGGTGCGGTGGGCGTTCAGGACGGCTGCCCGGGGTCCAGCCATGTCTCTGAGACCCGGCGCCAGGCTGCGGGGACGTTTCTCCCAGGCTCCCCCTACCTCCCAGAGGTAAGTGTGGGTGTGGGGCGGCCACGGCCACTCACCTCGTACCCGGAGTCGCCTCGCGGTCCAGGAGGTCCCCTGGCGGGCTGCAAGACACAAGAGAACAGTCAGTGCGAGACAGCGTCCACGCGGCCTGGGGCAGGTGGGGAGCCACACTCACCTGGCACTCGAAGGAGCAGCACTGTGGAGAAGGGACAGAGGGACACGTCAGAAAGCCCAGCATGGCCCCACGGCCTCCCGCGTTCAGCCTGCTCGGCGGAGGAACGGGCACCAGAGACCCCTCGGGC